CTTTTTTCTCTTTTTCCTTTTTTCTTTTTCTTTTTTCCTTTTTTTTCCATTTTTTTTCTTTTTCTTCTTAATTTAAAGAAAAAGAGAAATTTTGTGATAGAAAGTGCCTAGGAGTTAGAGATGGCTCTAGTAAGTCTTTTTTCTGTCCCACCGTCTGGGCTTAGACCACAGCTTAGGTCAGAAACAGAAACAGGATGAGAAGACCGAGTTCAATTCTGTAGAAATCCTTTAGCCGACAGGCTCATTAGCTTAACAGAAGAATTTGCATACGTGATAGTATCTCTTTAAAGAGACAAGGTGGTAAAAATGGCCAGGACGGTGGTGCCCGCGTCTTTCCGTTGGAGACCCCAGCGTCCAGTCACACCTGCTCCCTTTGCCAGCCTGGCTCCTTCTGCAGGTGTGAGAACCCAGAGAAGTGGCACAGGGAAAACCTCACGTGGCATATTTGGTTTAATCGACGCCATCTGCCTGAACAGAGGACTCCCAAAATAGGTCTTTCGGTCTAAACACTCCTTGTTCGCTGCCTGGATGGAAGACGCGTGGTTAATGATGCATAGCTGTCGCAACTACCCTGTCTGTTCAAACATCAGCTTCTTGCTTAACACTGATCTGTGCATCTTTGGGGAATGCTTGCAATCTTACAAGCAAAATTGTTTCATGCCTGTGTTCCAAATTCACTGTTTTCAGTGATAGCCACCGAGGAAATTTTAACAGCTCTTTCTTGTTCCCAGACATGAGTCCCCAGTTACTAACTCTTTGCAGCCCAATTGAAATATCCATGAATCTTGGGTTTTGGAGGGGATGTCTCTTAAGGACATTTTTCATTTGTTGGCTTGCATACCTAATATGCAAAAACCATGCCTGTAGGAAAAACGCAGGGGAGATGTTTTGATTATAAATGCAGCTTATGTGTTTGTTCCAGGAGAAGGTCAGAGACTCAGTTGATAGGCAGTGTGTTATATTGCAATGCAGTCCTGCCTGCCCGACGGCTTTACTATTACAAAAAATTGTTTTGAATTTCTGAGAGAGGTGTTTTGTGTCACCTGGACTTCGACACATGACCTTAGACAGCGTTCTGAAGCAGGGATCTGTGGGGGTGGCACTGATCAGTTCCTCGTCTTCCTCCCATCAGAGAGCCCAGGGAATTCGTGGAGAACTCGGAGTGTGTGCAGTGCCACCCGGAGTGCCTGCCCCAGGCCATGAACGTCACCTGCACGGGACGCGTAAGGACCATGATTATTGTTACCCACTCCCACGTCCACAGTAGAACCACGTGGTGGCCCCACGTCACCCTGCAGTGGCCAGGACAGCCATCCAGCCCACTTCCCAGACTTGAGGCCATGCTGTCTCACAGCTGACAAGGGGCCATGCCTGCCTGGCATGAACACTCACCTTTCCTGTCCAACCCCCAGACCCACGTGGGGGTACCCGCTTTCATAGTGCAGAACAGGGCAGCCCGTGCAGGCCGGGCACCCTGACACCCAGCTCTCACCGTTCCTGACATCCATCATCAGCGCTTTAAATCAAATACCACCACATTCTTATTTAACATTAGTTTCGAATGATTTGAAGAGTTTTAAGTGCACAGAAAAAAGTTAAGAAATTCAATTTCAAATCTGCATGTTCGGTAATAATCTTTCAGGCGAGAATTCAGGTCCCTCCCACACCAATGTCCTGACGTTGTTTATTCTCAATATTATCTATGTAAGGAGCTGTGTTTGGATTTGAGCTTCAAGAGCCATACCTCAATCTACTAAGAAAAGGTTTTTTGGAAATTCTCTAAATCGGGCAGAAGATGACAGACCGGTTTTGAAGTAGCTGGTTACAAAGTGCACCACTGGTTTTCTGGTTGATAACTGGGTCAACTTTTCATCAGAGAAATTAAGTAATTGGTAAAATGCAATAACATAAAGCACTTTCTTTTATGTTTTTATATATTCTACATGTTTAAAGTCAGGAAGACTTAATTCTTTTTTTTTATTTTATTGAGTTATAGTCAGTTTACAATGTTATGTCAATTTCCAGTACAGAGTACAATTTTGTCTTTTCCTTTTCTTTATTTTTTTCTTTTTTAGATTCCACATATGAGCGATCTCATATGGTATTTTTCTATCTCTTTCTGGCTTACTTCACTTAGAATGACATTCTCCAGGAAACATCCAAGTTGCTGCAAATGGCGTTATGTTGTCATTTTTATGGCTGCATAGTATTCCCTTGTATAAATATACCACATCTTTATCCAGTCATCTGTTGTTGGACATTTAGGCTGTTTCCATGTCTTGGCTATTGTAAATAGTGCTGCTGTGAACACTGGGGTGCAGGTGTCTTTTTGAATTAGGATTCCTTCTGGATATATGCCCAGGAGCGGGATTCCTGGGTCATATGGTAAAGGAAGACTTAATTCGAAGTTGTTAACAGCGGTCCCATCAAGCAAGCACAGTTACAAAGAACTTGTCCTCTTTAAGACCATCTACACTGACTCTTTTCACAAGAGGTATTCTAAATAAAAAGTTAGTTCCATTCTATTAAAGAAAGAGACATTTGGCCCTGAATCAAGGCCAGCAGTTTGCTGGAGCTGTTGGTTTCGAGCAGGAGCCTGAAGAAGTGTCTTCTCGTGGTCTGATAGCCATTTCAGAACTGTGGAAATGTGACGGTCAATACATTAAAAGTACACATCCGAGTTAATTGGTTACAGATGTGGGTCATACTTGTTTGCAGTCAGTGAATACTGGGATTCCAAAATTTAGAGATTCCCCAATTTAACTTGTTCACTAGAATTATATTACTGTTAAATCCAGTTACTACAAAAAAAAAATAACATTGCTTTCTTTGGGTGTTCCACAAAAACAGTAGGATGATTCTGAAATATGAGCTTCCTTTATTCTTTCGTACAATCATGGCCCTGACTTGTGTATTTTAGACCTCGTTGAAATTGGAAACTTACACTTACAAGAAATAAAAAGGAAAAAGAAGAGACATAAATAAATGTCTGATTTATGCCATGGTTTTCCCACCCCGGTGCAGGGACCGGGCAGCTGTGTAAAGTGTGCCCACTACATCGATGGCCCTAACTGCGTGAAGACCTGCCCCGCCGGCATCGCGGGCGAGAACGGCACCCTGGTCTGGAAGTTTGCGGATGCCAGTCACGTGTGCCACCTGTGCCACCCCAACTGCACCTATGGGTGAGTGGAGGAAGCTCTGGGCCCGGAAAGGAAAATGCAGAGCAGAGTGCTTCCTAATCTTGCAGATTCTTAGCTGTGTGGCCTTGGGCAAGTGTCTTAACCTCTCTGTGCTTCCCTTTCGTCATCTGTCAGTTAAGATACTAATGCTGCGTAGCTATACCAGGATTTTTGTGGTCTTGAGTGAATATGGATAACGTTCTTAAAATAGTGCCTAGAAACACACGAGCGCTCAATCCATGACGGCACTGATGGTGGTGGCGGAGCTGGTGATGAGGTGGTAATAATGGTGGTGGTGGTGATGGTGATGATGATATCAGTGTTCTTGAGAGACGCAGAACGTTCCCATTAGACTTCTAAAAATCGGGAGTTTTGAAAGTTTTACAAGTCTGTCCTAAGTTTTTCCAAAACAAAATTTTTTTAATTGCATTTCCACGGAAGAACCCTGGGCCTAGACACAAGGATTTAGGAATGACTGGTAACTGGTCAGCTTCCATCATTTCACTTTCATAAATTTCGGCCGCCCCGGGGGCACATGGAAGGGCCCCGTCACCCCAGGGCCCCTGGGGACCAGGAGTGGCAGTCCCAGGTGACTGAAGAGTAAATCCTCAGCCAACATGTAGGAAGTCTGCAGTCTCCTCTGTGGTCTGCATGGGACCGTCTTGTCCCTCTAATTTTAGTCTGATCTATCTGTGAGTTCCAAGTGATCTTGAACAGTTTACCAAGTGGACCGCCAAAAGAAACAGAAACAAACAAAATCTGAAGCCAATGATTTAATTTGAGGAGGGCTGACGGTTTTACAGTATTTCATATCCCCCATCAGGAAGTGATCCTTTCTTCCTGCAGTCAGATATTCCTTTTTTAGATTTCAGTAAACTTTTATAGTTTTGTTCTTTCGTGTTCTAAGTATTTTGCATTTATTTTTGCTGTCATGAAATGGCTCTTTCCTGGTATATGTTCTAATTTATTATTTCTGATATACGATAGCTTTTGATTTTTTTGACGCGGGCATGTCTTCATCTCATATTACTGGTCTGTACTGAATTCCCTTTGAAATTAGTGTTTTATTGTGTACTTTTTAGAATTTCTTTATTGAGGAGATGCTGGGGATTGAACCCAGGACCTCATGCATGCTAAGCATGTGCTCTACCAATTGAGCTACATACACCCTCCCCCGTGAAATTGGTGTTTCAGTTCATGGTTTGGAGTTTTCCAGGAAGAGACTCCAGATCATCTCCAATAATGTGATCTTCATCCCTTTTCCAAAAGTTTCAGGTTGTTACCGAGTCCAATCTCGTTCTCCTCGCCACATGACAGGCCAGTAGATCGGGAGACGAGGTGTTGGGGCAAGGAAGAGCGGCTTTATTCAGAAAGCCAGCAGACCGAGAGGACGGCAGACTGAGGTCTTAGAGAACCATCCTGCTCCAGTCAGAATGCAGGCTCCTTTTATACAAAAATACAAACAGAAAAACAGCGGAGGGGGTGTGCTTGGTTGCTGCAAACTTCTTGGTGCAGGAATCCTTTGTTCCTGCAGCTGTCCGCATGGGTCAGGTCAACCTCCAAAAAAAACAAAGGTTGTTCTCTACTCTGCAACTTTGTTATTTTTACATGAATGCAGAGCCAGCAAGACTGAGCCTAGGAAACAGGGCACAGTGGTTAAAGCTAAAGGAACAGATCTCATATGGAGTCAGATTCGTTCTTTTCTATTACAAAATTGTATTACAAGAGCCAGAATTTCTAGAATAACACCAGATACAGTAGTAGTGGACGGCAGGATTTTATACCTGATGGCGGTGGGAGTGGCTGTGATGAACCATTGTTAAGAACAATATTTGCTGTTAGATCCTTATTAACGTGTTAAAGAAACAGTCGTGTGTTCCTACTTCTAAAACAATTTTTTTAAATCTAGAATAGATTTTGAATTTTACCAAACACCTCCTTGGTAGCAGTTTTAAGATTTTTCACATTTTTCCCTTTTACCAAACACCTCCTTGGTAGCAACTTGAAGATTTTTTTCATATTTTTCCCTTTGGATGGATCATCGTGCTGGTTACATTGA